GTCCCACCGTAGAGAGGAGCTCGGACCCACCGGGTCCCACCAAGTACGTATCGGCACGCGTGCAAAGCTGGTGGTTTCGAGGGCGCGATTTTGGGTCCAGAACATGTTCATGCTTCCGGCTTCAACATAGCGTGCCTCCATAGTAATTACAAAGGCCTGCTCGAACTCGAACATGCCCAAAAGAAAAAGATGTCAGTGCTGAAAGCCGGAGCCGGGGCACCAGGGATGATGACCACGCTGCCAGGCCGGGTGGCTGCGCTCCGCAGCTCTGCCAGGAGCGTTTCGAGACACTGGAAAAAATCATCTCGGGTCTCCGCGTCCGAGGCCTCTGCAGAGGGCTGAGGCAAGTCTTGCAGTAATGACCTCGCAAAGTCCAGGCAGTGGGATATTTTTGATAGCTCTGGAGGAGGCGTCGTCTTCCAGGCAGCAGTGGCAGCTCGCTTCAGCAAGCCTGCAGCCAAGGCCAGCGACTCTGCCAGTGCAGCAAGACTGGGCGAGCATTCCCGGGAGGGCAGGTCACTGCCCAGGGCACGGCCGATGACGCTCCTTGCTCACAAGAAACATCATCACCACACCCGTCAGACACTGATTAAGATCACATAATTGCATGGGCAAAGTCAGGAGCAGGTTTAAAACGGCGTGGAGACCCTCGCCCTATAAAGTTCTTACATCAGGTGGCAGGCCCTGTGCAGGCACGCAAGGAGAAGCTCCAAAAGGCATGCAGCCAATCCCTCACATATCACTTCATATTTCCACTGATGCTCAGCCGCGCAGATCGGCGGCTGGGTAGTCTGGAGGGCTGGGCACTTTGCAATGCCCTCGCTGGGTTCTCCAAGAAAGCGTTGAGGCCGAGGACCCGGGCATCCACGTCAGCGGAGGCGAGCTTTGGCCTCAGGTCCTCGGGTTCCTCTGACTCTGCCAGGTGCGAAGCGCGGGAACCGCAGCTGTGGCTCGGCAAGACAACGTCGCCCTGCCACGGGCACAAGCAGAATCAGAATCACCCGTCACCCGTCCTCACGACGTCAGCCTCTGCAAATGGTACCCTGAAGGTGCTTTACGTTATAACACGACATGTCACTTCGTTCAGCATGTTTCACAATTCTCAACAGCAAGAATTCCGGAGCACGCCAACGCAGTATCGCACTCCGAGTACAGATCTGCACGAAGAGGCCCTGAAGAACGAAGATGAGACAGAACTCCCAAGCAGTCGCAGCCAGAATGCGGCCCTCTTTTTCGGCGCGGGGCCCGCGGCTGGAGGCTTTGCGAAGCCGCCTTGAGGCGGCTCACTGTGACGTCTCGAAACAACGATGTGCCAAGTGCATACCGTTGACGAGACGCTCATAAAAGAAGGACCTGCCTCTGTACATTCCGGTCCAAGTTGAACCCGAACAAGCAGCTGTGTGGATGTTCATGCTGCAGCATGTACATCTTGCGACTTCTAGCTGTTCCACTCGTCCTGCGACCAATGGGAGGACTTACCTTTGCCCTTAGGGTTGGGCTCTGAGGAACGAAGCTGATCCACTGCCCAACGTGCGTCCGAGCGAGCTTGCCCTGCTTCGTAAACAGCGTCCCTTGCTTGTTTGCTGGCCCGATCTGCCCCTTTTGAGGCTTCTGTAGCAACGGAGCGAGCTTGTGATGCTTCGCGGAGAGCCTCGCTCGCCTGTTTGCCGGCCCGATCTGCCGCGCTGCGGGCTTGGCTTGCCTCTTCCGTGGCCTTGCGCGCGAGGCCGCTGGCTCCACGTGCTTCTGCGAGGGCCTCCGAAGCTAGTTTTTGTGCCGCTCCGGCAGCTTGCTGGGCTTTTTCCAGACCCTGCAGCACTGCATCTAGCCGCTGGTTTGCCACGATGGCTTCTACTTGAACTGGCAAGGCAGTTAAGTCGCATAAAGCATTCCTGTTCATGCAGATCAGGGGGAGCCCATACAAGACTTTCAGAGCAAAGGACGTGTCCTTTGGACCCTGACGCGCAATGGCGCACCACCTGTTCAACAAGCTGACGGCCCTTTCACAGGTGCAGCCATCCTCTTGTGCCCACACCGCACAGTCCCAAAACCGAGGCATCTTTTCAAGCAGACGCTCATCGGAACAGCGCTCCAACTGTCCCAAAAGAGCTTGTGCCACAAGCTTCTCCCCGTTCTCGACTCCTCGCAGATCTTCAAGCCAGGCGAGTGGAAGCCTCTCTGTCATGGTCGAATGCAGGACAGAGCAGGCGACGAAAGCACGCATCAACAGCCTGCCAACTTGAACAGAGTCTCCTGTGCCCTCCTCCTCTTCAAGTATCAAGTCCAGAACTGCATGCAGGCGGTGGCACGTTGCAATTGGCAACATCTTTCTGGATTCCGTCCAACGCAGGAGCTGCAAGATCTCACGCTCGTCCTGCCTCATCAGGGGTAGCAGTGTTGCCGCAGCTGGTGCCCAGACACTCAGAACATGATCGAAAATCTGCGCAGTCTTGTCTGCAGATGAGATATATGAAAGTGATGTCAGCGGAAGCTTCGTTTCAAGCACGACCTGAGCACCCATTTTCGCATCACTGTCTGCAGCTCGACCAAAAGCCCTGGAAGCTGCTGTGAGTTGGCCATAAGATAAGCATGTTGACACAAAAACCAGGCTGTTGTCCAGTGGCACTTTGTCTTCTTTTACACAACGGAGCAATTGCTCAAAAGAGCCCCTTGAGAAAGTCTCTTTGTGCATAAGCAGCACCTGCCATGCGAAATCATGACGATGCAGTGCAGGTGGCATCAATAGCAGCCTTCCTTGATCTTTCCGAAAAGGCCCTGGGTTCTTCGATGCAGCTCGATCGGACTCTATCAGAGCCACTGCAAGGTCTTTGTCGACAACCGCTTTGCTGATGAAACCCTTTGCGAGGCACTTTGCTGGAATCCGGTCACGCAACAGCTTCATCAGTTCAAGCTTCACAGATTCAGCAGCGTTGCCTTGAGAAGCCACGGACACCACCAGATCCACACAGTCCTGAGCATTTAACTCCCGATAGACCTCGCAGTTCATCACCGCCTTGGCAAGATCGTCATCTCTTTCCGCGATAGCATAGCACAGCAACATGTGGATATCAGCTACGTCTTGGATTCGCCTTAGCTGCGCTCCCAAGATTACGATCAACTCATCAGAATGTAATTGAGAGTAGATGTCCTTGATCCTCTTAATTGTATTGTAGAACGCACAACTTACTGAAAAATGGAGCGCCTCTTATAACAAGCAGGTTGCGACAGCCCTGTTGCTCTGTCAAAACCTCGCATTTCGCAGGCCTGCTGCAGGAAGACGGCATCGCACAGCAACTCCGTGTCGGCAAGACAGATCGCATGGTGTGCTTGATGGAGTACTGCAAGCATAACCTCGGGAGACTTGCGGATAGTGTCTGGCGCTTGGCCAATCTCCCCCCAATCTGCATTCACGCGCTTCAACCAGTGAACCACATCTGGATGTCGCCGGATCCAAGATATTGGCGGAGACTCTCCATTGAAGTGAAGCTTTTCGACATGGAGAGAATCGTGAAGAAGGACTCCTCCAAAACTGAGGCATGCATGCTCGGCCGAAATGTTGTGGACCCTCTCCATCTTTGCTTTAACCTGGGCGATCGTCCAATCATTCCTGACTCCCAGCTCCAGGATCTCGCCAGCAAGGGAAGCAATTCGAAGAGTTAAGTCTGGGTTCACACAATTGCATACCTGTTTCATCTGTAGCTCCCACTCCGGCAACGGACCATGCACCAGAGACCCGCCTGCAGTCATGTCGCACATGGAGCCCGGGCAGCCGTGCGGATGCCGGTGTTCACATTCTGCATCTCCAGAATGCCAGCCCTGCTCCCTCCGTACCATTCCACAGCTGTTGCATTGCAGATATCTGAGACTTTTGCAGAAGCATGGCTGTTGTGCTCGCTCTTGCCACGAACCGGGGCCAAAGAAAGCGGTCTGAAACCTACCTGAAACTTTGGACAGTTCCCCCGGACATCCATGCTCGGATTGATGTTCGCATGGACCGCTGGTCTGGATCTTCCACCCCTGTCTCTCCACAACCAGACCGCAGCGATTGCACTCCAAATAAGAGGTAGGCATGCCAGCCTTGAAAGCTTTGCCCTCGGTTCTTTTCAGGCTCCGGCAGATTCCACAGTATTGCTGGTAGTCGGGACACCCAGCTTCAACAGAGACCGAGCCGCACAGCTCTGGTGTTTATGAATGTCTCGTGGTCCGTTTCTTCTTCTACAGGTCTAGGCTGGTTGACCCACAGAACCTTGCAGCAGGTTCAGGCCTTCCTTTTACAAAGAACTCGAAGCCACTACAGGCCATGCATCTGCGACCCATTTGCTCCTCCATGCAGGACAAGTAGCATCACAAAGACCTTGCCTGTAAAGGTCTGGACTTAGGCTGTAGCCTACAGAGCTACGTGTGTTTGTTATATAGTGACAGATCCTTCCGAATGCAATGGGGCTTTTTGGAAGACTTTATGCTATCACACGAGACTAAGTCGGCATCTCCCAGGCAGTGAAAGAGGGGCCTCGCAAAGGTCCAGCACTGCAGCAGATCGCAGAAGCGGCGCCAGGGCCATGGCTTGACAGTCCCGGCAAACTGCTTCTGCGTTGAAGTTATGCCATGATAAGACAACTGACTTAACACAATGCTGAACCCTGCGGCACCAAGAACCATGGATACTGAATGCGCTCAACACGTGGCCTGGGTCCGACCCTGCACACAGGAAAATGGCAGCACCCATTTCGCTCCTGCTCCTCAAGCGCCTGCGCAGCTGTCAGAGGCACGCGGAGAGGATCTTTCGGGGCGAAAGGGCATTCAGCCGCCACGGCGGTGTCTGTCTCACCGCAAGCTGAGCGAGGCTCGATGAGGCTGATGGTGTCCGTGCGAGTCGTTGGAGCTGGACGGCCAGGCGACCGAGGAGGCGGGCTTCCCGGAGAAGGCCTTTTAAGATCGTGCCTCGTCTAATAGCGCAAGGTGGAGCAAGTGGAACACCATTGATGTTGGCCTCTTCGCACCCGTCCGGTGCCCAAGACCGAACAAGGCCGAAGACCGTCCAACCGGCGGCGAAGTCAGGGAAGCAGCTACTACTCTAGACTGCCTCTCATACTTTCGCATGCTACGAGCGTGCGTGTGCCAAGCTTGGCAGTTGTTTGCGAAGGGGGAGAGAGAGGTTGCTCGGATGCTCTGGTCCTCAACGTGGTGCAGCATGCGGAGAGGGCGCCGGCAGGCTGCGCTCGGCGGGGATGAGGTGGGTCTCCAAGACCAGCCTGGAGAAGGAAGAACCGTCTCGGAGGAACCACGGAATCAATAGAGAGAGAGAGAGAGCGAGAGAGAGAGAGAGAGAAAGAGAAAGAGCGAGAGCCACGAGTCTCAGCCTCGTGGTCGCCCGAGCCAGCTCGGTGGGAAGTGCAATCACATCGTCGTCATCCAGTTCGAACCAAATCGTCGAGGCCGTTGCTGCATCCAGCAAGCTTGCAAGGTGAAGCAAGTTGCGAACCTCAGTGAAGCGGTGAGTGCTCCGGCGCCTCCCTCTGCTTGAAACTTCGGTCAAGGGTATACCGCATGTGCCTGCTCCCCGTTGCAGCGGTGCAAGCGCCGGTTTACGAAGTGCGTGAGGCCCGCCGTAAGGGCCGAGGCAAAGACACAGGAGAGCACGACCACCTGAAATAGCTTGGGGAGAAATCCGGTTTACATACGCTCTGCTTTCAAGGAGGGGTCTCAGCCGGCGCCTCCTCCTCCACGAAGCGGGGGATGTTGCGAAGCCAGGGCTCAGCCAGACATACTGGCGCCCTTTCTTCGAAGAGCTCCCCCCATTCGGAGCGCAGGTAGGGCTCCGAGAGCGGCACGAAGACCAGGCCACCAAATATCTGCAGTGCACTTCAGCCCAGACTCTCACAGCTCAGTAGCCGCAAGTAGTTGCGACTTGTAGCCGAGGCACGAGGTAAGCCGGTGGCTGCAAGGGGTGCATGGGAACCAGCGGACTTGGCCACCCCAGCTTCAGATGCCATTGGTGCACCTGAGACAACCCCGGCAAACCAAAGGAGCGAAGGCAACGACCCCGGCGGCCTTGCTGTCTCGCAGCACCTCGCACTCGACGGTGTCATGGGGGCATTTCTGGCTGGTGACGTACGGGAACGCGATGCGCTCTCCTCGCCGGAAGTGCACGGTGCCACCTGTGAGCTGTAGCTGTAGCAACTGGGGGTGGTCTGCGAAACCTTCACACAAAGCTTTGGACTCCCTCTGGCCTGTGCTGATGGATCTTCCTGCAATGGACAGCAGCACGTCACGCTCTCGCAGAAGCTCGCTTGCTGGTGATGTAGGCTCGATGCGCTTCACCAAGACGCCACCCGGGATGTCTCCATTGTTTGTGCCGTTTTCCCTCAAGACCGCCTTTGCAGCACCGTGGTTTGCACTTGCGCTCCCTCTGCACTTCTCTGATCTGACTCAATTTCCGTGCCTCACGGAGGGCACGGTTGTCCAGGGGCTGCCACGCGAAACCATGGTGTCCGAAACCTGCGTATCCTCGGGAAACGGATGAAGACTGCCTGCTTGCATTGGCCATGATACGACGTGCTGGGATGCACTTGCAGTTGCAAGCAGTCCTGCATGCAGGCCTTACACAAACAGAGATTACCAGCATGACATTGGAAGCAACTAGCCTCCGCAGCGGCGATAGCCGGAGAGGAAGTGGCGGAGCACTTCTGCTGGGATCAAATATCCTGAAGCAAAATCGAAAGCGAAAAAATGCTGAGAGGTACCAACTAAACGCTGTCACCAGCTGTCGGGACCCTCTCTGGCACGCCCAAGCCAGGCCTATGTTGTCTGCATCTTGCAGGCTTTGAAAGGCGACTCCCACACAGCGGCCTTGCGCGTCGAGGGCAGGCCCACCACTGTTTCCTGCCCAAAGTTGCACATTCAAGTCCAAGTCTAAGTCAGCTTCGCTTGCGGGCCGGCGCTGCCGCGACTTGGCTTACTTGACTTAACCCCTTCAGTCCAGGGTTGATTGCAGCATCGATTTGGATGGCAAGCAGGCTGCCCAAACCGTGTCGATAAGGCTGCATCTCCACCTGGCAGGGATCCTCTGCTCCATCTCTACAGCACAAAAAAGCCTTTCCAGCAGTTCCGCCATGCAAATATACAGCTTTGCAGCGACAGGGCATGTGAATTCTATACATATCCGAATCCGGAGTATTCATGATTCTATTCGGCCCGCTGCCCGGACTCCGCACCCTTGAGACGATGCCCTCTGTGATGCTGATGTTCTCACCACCTGCTTGCAGGCGGGGGGGCTGCTTGCTGTTTTGAAACTTTCGTCGTGAAGACGCAATGTAGCAAGACTTGTCACCGAGAGGGCCACCCACGGGAAAGCCGCACACGCGAACTCGGTCATTGAGATGGCAGATGTCTTCGCTGAGGCTCAGAGGCTCCACGTTCGCCCAGAAATCGGGGACCTGCTCCACAAGCTCCAGCAGCGCGAGGTCGCAATCTCATCAGGGTACAGTGGGCACAGCGGCACAGAATGGAATCCCCTAAACCCTCTCTCCCTTCAAAGCCAGTGTTTCCCGCGCCTGGCCCTTGACAAATCACGCGAGCCAAGCACTTGAGGTCGTCCGAGGGCTTCTGTAGCTCCAGCAAGGAGGCGTGGTGCACGGCGTGAGCATTCGTGACCAGGTAGCGCTGCCCATCCACTTCGAGAGCCAGGGCGGAAGCAGCTGCCGTGGTCTGCGGTGACGTGGACCATGGCATGGTGTAGTAGGGCTCACAGTGGGTGGAGAGCACCTTGAACACTGCATTCAGGCTGCTGCTTCGCCCAACGGCCCGGCTGGGCCGGCCGGGCTTGGGCGGTGCCCGCAGGGAGCGTCGCAAGGAGCGTGCTGTCGCTCCCGAGCTCGAGAAGTCTCGAGATCTCCAAACGCCAGCGGGGCAGGCGCGCTGCGACAGCGACGCAACGTGAAAGGCATGCCGCGTGCACCTCCTCATCAGGAAAAGGAAGCTAGGATGGACATCAAGAGAGCTGATTGAAGGGAAATGTAGCTTTAACTGCTGATGGAAAGCAGGACTTTGCATGCATAAGTCGCTACCCTTTGCTTTGAACGACGAAGCTAAGCCAAGCTGGAGATAGTGGGTGCAGTGGGCAAGGAAAGCTGAAACTTGCGAGCAAACGAGTGCTCTCTCACGTTGGCGAAGCTTTTCTAAGGCCCAGTCGAAACAGGGATGCACGAGAAAGGACTGGTGCCTTGGTCTTTCGCCTAAACCCTACGTAGTACTACCCTACTTACCCGACTTGCCCTCCAGCCCGAGCTGAAGCCAAACACACAGACAGCTCACGGCTCGCTTCTCTCTGTGACTTCACTAATGGCTAACCGGGCTAACTCTGTCCGTGCGACTCTCGGCTCAGTCAAGGCCTCTGGTCGACTACAGGCCGTGCCCTTCGGCTGAGCATGGGCGAATAAGTTAGGACCCCCTTCGCCCCTTTTGGGTAATAATGCCACCGTCAACCCATTAGATGATCATTCCTATACTCCCCCCTAAATTTCACCGATATATCACTACTACTACCCCATTATCAACACGATTCTAGGAATAACCATAACCTCATCTATTTTCTCTAAGGTGGCATTATTACTCAAACTGGGCAAGGGGGTCCTTGTAGAATTTAGGTTCAGGGTTTAGGGTTAAGGGTTATAACTCTAATGTAATTATATTATATAACTGCTTATGTATT